TTCGCTGCACAGCTCCCTGCAAATCTTTCTTTGTTTCAAACTGTTGCTCGACATACAAATGCTCATCATCGGGAATCACACGCGAAAAATTAGATGACAGTCTAATTGATCCAACCCTTGCACTCCTGACCCGCTCATGTCTCTAACGTGATAAAGCAATCAAATCCTCATTTGTAAATTCATTTTCATTCTCGTTGTCGTGAACTACCAACGGAATTCTGTGTGTGACAGCGAGATCATGATGATGAACAATTGTATCAGGAATAAACACATCTTTTTCACGAGCTATTTCCATGTGTCCCAAAAATCATTGGCATTGTGATCTCATCCATCCAAATTTTTGTGTTCACCTTTGGTGACATTCTTCCTCACTAAAGTCACGCAACGAGGAGTCGTGTGCATTTTGTTCAATTCAAATAGATAATTCACTTCACCATCAGAAATAACCTTCATAGGTGGAATCGAAATAGATGAATGCTCGTTGAATTGAAATCTCAGTTTCATATTGCACTGAGATGGATCGACTTTCAGCTTGTTTTGTAAATCATGGTACATTTTCGCATATGGTGTACTCGATGCTATGAAAATTGGAATACTACCACGTATATCACTCGTCCATTTTCATACCCATCGATCTTTTTCATTCATTTCGAAATCACCAAAGTAATAAGTTGGGATTACAATCATATTTGTACGATGAAACATAATTTTTAATTTTAAGAAGAAAAAGTAATTGGCCCAACTACTGGATAATTGAATTTAAAAAAAAAAAAGTCCTAACAGCCAGCTGTTAAACTGGTCGGAATCATTGCAATGAATATATACATGCAAATGAGTTTTTTTCTTGTTTATACTCAAAAAATTATAGATCTATTAAAAAAAAAATATCTACATGTTAATCTATGTCGAAATAAAATTTACCGATAAAAAACATATACTAATTTAACGAAAATGAAATTAAATATAAATAAATATACTTATCGATTCAAAGTGATAGATGTAAAAAAAATTGTTATTCAACATTTGATCTATTTATGAGATTTTGAGGTTGAAGTAAATGAAAAATGAGAGTTTTTATTTGTGTTGGAATAAACAGATAAGAAAAGTTGGCTGATTTTGAAATTTTAAGTGAAAAGTGTTCGATTTTTACTTGTTAACTAAAATTGTAGTATTGTCTTTTAAATAAAATAATATTTTGAATCGATAGATGTGAAAAAAATTCTTATTCGACGTTTGATCAATTTCTGAGATTTTGAGGTTGAAGTAAATGAAAAATGAGAGAGTTTTTATCTGTATTGAAATAAACAAATAAGAAAAATTAGCTGATTTTGAAATTTTAAGTGAGAAGTGTTTGATTTTTACTTGTTAACTAAATTTGTAGTATGTCCTTTAAATAAAATAATATTTTGAATCGATAGATATAAAAAAAATTGTATTCAGCGTTTGATCAATTTCTGAAATTTTGAGGTTGAAGTAAATGAAAAATGAGAGAGTTTTTATCTGTGTTGGAATAAACAGATAAAAAATATTAGTTGATTTTGAAATTTTATGTGAGAAGTGTTCGATTTTTACTTGTTAACTAAAATGGTAGTATTGTCGTTAAAATAAAATAATATTTTGAATCAATAGATGTAAAAAAAAAAAATTCTTATTCAGCGTTTGATCAATTTCTGAGATTTTGAAGTTCAAGTAAATGAAAAATGAGAGTTTTTATCTGTGTTGGAATAAACAGATAAGAAAAATTGGTTGATTTTGAAATTTTAAGTGTGAAGTGTTTGATTTTTACTTATTAACTAAAATGGTAGTATTATTTTTTAAATAAAATAATATTTTGTAAATGTAGTGTGTAACATCTTTGTATTTTACTAGGGGTGAACGCGATTCGATTTGGACGGTTTGTGCCATATTTTCAACTCAAATAATTTCATGCGATTTGAAATTTTTTCAAAACAAACCAAACAATAATTTGCGGGTTGGTTTAGTTTTAATCCGCGGTTTACCTATCGACA